TACTAGATAAAAGACTTCCAAAAAAAAAAAAAAAAAAAAAAAGAGTATGAGTTTTTAATTGAAGAAGCTTGGGTTAAAATCCCAGGTCTTGTAAGATGATGTGACATTAGAAAAGTTAATAGATTATCTTATTTATCACTTGTGTGTGTGTCTTTAAGATGATAATAACAATATTTATATTATAATTTTTTTTTTAACCAATTAAAAAATGAATGGTAGATATTGGTCCTATTTTTCCCAGCTGCCTTAGTTTCTGATTGTTCTTCTTATATTAGTGCTATTCATACACATGAATGTTCATGAGAAGCTGAGTTTGTCTTACACTATAAATGCAAATGAAGTGAGTTACTTCTTTTTCCTGACCCCAAAAACCTAGAGTCTGTACTTATAAACTAGTCTTAGCTTGTAATGTTATCCCAGCAGGGACTTTGAATATACAGTGAGAAAAGCAAAGAAAAAAAGGAATATTTTCATTGAATTTATCTTTCCTTCAGCAAAGGTTGTAGCAATATCCAGTTTGTAGAGCAAGGTAACTCATAGCTGTCTCATAGATCTAAAAGAGGCTGAGGCAGAGATGCTCAATGGGACATCTAATGCTCTTCCATGAAAGCATCATTGTTTTCACTAGACTTTCAGGGAATGTAGTTTAACTCCTGAGAATCTCTTGATTTCAGTCTGGTTCTAATATATCTGTTCAGTTTGTTTGTTTGTTTGTTTTTTGGAGAAGATTTGATATAGGGCACGTGCACTTGCCAGACAGACAGAGAGAGACAGAGACACAGAAAGTGAGAAATCACCCCCCTAGGGGGATGACCACACTGCAATCCCTTCTCCTCCATTCTTCTCTCGGAATCTTGGGCATGCACGCACACGCACCCAGCGTGAGTTTAACCCACGGGGTCCAGGACGCAAACCACGGTCGACTACAGGGGAGTCCAGCAACATAGCCATTACGCTAACTGCTGGTCCCTCTGTTCAGTTTTCTAATCCAGGAAATACCTTTGACTCCTGGGTTATCCATTTTGTGCCATTGTACCTAAGTTAAAAACCTCTTATAATTACATCAGCATGAATGGCAGGGTAATAATCTTCAAAAGAAGTAGTGAGTACATTGGCAATGAGTCAAAATAGTGACTCTGGAAAATAAATTCTGGTAACAATCTGAGAAAAATTTATGCAAGAAAAGCAGCTAAAGCTAGGTAAGAACAGTAAGCTTTTCAATGTTTTAATATATACATACAATGTTTTAATACATATTGCAATGTTTTAATATATATTCCTTTCTCCTTCTCCTTATATTTTTGCAGTAGCCGTGAACCCTTTACAAGCTATTCCACAAAATGGAAGATAAATAAACACTTCACAATTCATTCTATGAGGCCAGTACTACCTTTATGCCCAAACCAGAATAAGGTATATTAAGAATTAAAAACTTTGGACTCATATCTCTTATGAATATAAATCAGAAATTGTTCTTAAAATACTAGCAACAAGATACCATATTAAAAAGGACTATATATTATGAATAAGTGGAATGTATCAAAAGTAGACAAGACAGAGAACATCTAAATATGAAATAATATAATAACTATACTAATAGATTAAAGGACAAAAATTTCATGCTTCTTTCAATAGATGAAGGAAAATTCAATACTTTTTCTTGATAATGACTCAATGAACTAAGAATATAAGAGACTTTTCTTAATCTGATAGAATCATCAATCACTCAACCAATTTATAGTAAATGAAAGCCTTTTCTATTCAATATAGTCCTAGAGGTTCAAGCCAGAGCAAAGAGAGAGGAAAAAGAAATAAAAAACTACATGATATTAAAGAGAGAAGTAAAATTACCTCGAGCTGCAGATAGCATGACCCTTGTATGTAAAAAATCCAATCTAGTAAAAATGTTCAGCACAATTTTAGGATACAAGTTTAATATCAAATATAATTGTATATTTAATATCAAATATAAATTGTAAATCAATATAAATTGATATATTAGCAGTGAAAAAGAATGAAATTACTAAAATATCTGCCTTTAATAAACTTTGAAAATATATGCTGCATTGAAAAAACCATCCATAAGAAGCCACCAATTATATGATTCCATTTACATTCAATATCCAGAACAGACGAACATATAGAGACATGAGGGTGATCAACTATTGTTAAAGGAGATGAGCAATGAAGAGCGATGAACAGAGTCTCTTTATGAGGTAATAAAGATGTTCTGGAACCTGACAGTGGTGATAGCTTCTCAACTCTTAAAACTTAATTTTGTGGTACCTGAAGCATACATCTTGATTGACAATGACCCAGCAAAATAAAAACACCTCCTACCATATGAATTTAGCATATAACCTAGTATCAGGCATGTAGAAAATCCATTTTTAAAAAGTCACTAACTCCTTTTTTTTTTTTTTTTACTATAGGGCATGTGCACTCTCCAGACAGACAGAGAGAGACATAGAGACAGAAAGTGAGGACTCACCACCCAGGGGGGATGGTCACGCTGCAATCCCTTCTCCTCTATTCTTCCATTCTCCTCTAGGAATCTTGGGCACGCACGCACACGGTCCCCGTGTGAGTTTTAAGCCACCGGGTCCGGGACGCGAACCGTGGTCAACTACATGGGAGTCCAGTGACATAGCCATTACGCTAACTGCTGGTTCCCACTAACTCTTCACTCTTCATCAGTTTCTCCTCAAAATTCTTAAATGTAAGCAGTACATTGTGTATCATCTTATTCAATTTTATACAATATAAGATATGGTGAAAAACGTGAGGCAAATTTTTAAAAAATTATGGAAAATGAAATTAGCATATGAGTTATTTTGGTTCAAAAAGTTTTAAAATTCATGTACAGTTTTTTGTTGTTTGCTTGTTTTTTTAAATTTTTTTTTGAGAGGTTTTTCCTATAGGGCACGTGCGCTCTCCAGAAAGAGAGAGAAAAACAGAGAGACAGAAAAGCGAGAAATCACCCCACAAGAGGAATGGCCACACCGCAATCCCTTCTCCTCCATTCTCCTCTGGGAGATCTTGGGCATGCACACACACACACAGCATGAGTTTAAGCCACTGGGTCCGGAATTTGAACCACGGTCGACTACATGGGAGTCCAGTGACATAGCCATTATGCTAACTGCTGGTCCCCAAGTACAGTTTTTCCATATCACACATTTTCCATGAACTTTTTGAGGACCACTCATACGTAGAGTGCTTTGTGTTTTATTCAGCAGCACATATACAAAAACTGAAATGATGCAAAGGAGGTTAGCATGGTCCCTGTGCAGAGATGACACATAAGTTTGTAAAGCATTTGTATTTCAAAAATATAAATAGGAGCTAAATGATACCATAAACCAAATGACTCTCACAAACAATTACAGCATATTTAAACTAAAAACTTCAAAATACACAGTGTTTTCCACCCCACACAGAATATTTTCAAATATGGACTACATAATAGGGCACGAAACAAGTCTTTACAAATTTGGAAACATAAAAATCAAGCTAGCATCATTTTTGACCACAATGTAATGAAATTTGAAATCAACAACAAAAACAGTCTTCAAAAACACAAAATATATGAAAATTAAATAAATTTAGTTGAATGACTTCAACATTGCTGATAAAGTTAAAGATGAAATTGAAAACCTTCTTGAATCAAATGATAATGAAAACAACTCTGCAGAATCTCTGCAACACACTGAAAGCAGTACTTAGAGAACAGTGTATAGCAATCAGTGCTCACAAGAAAACAATAGAAAGATGACGAATGAGTACCTAACAATACATCTTAAGGAACTGAAAAAGCAAGGACAAAACAACCCCCAAAAGTAATAGAAATAAAGAAACAATAAAGATTAGAGCAGAAATAAAATGAGATAGAGAATGAGATAGCAATGTAAATCAACATAACAAAAAGCTGACTTTTGAGAGGCTAAACAAAATCTACAAACTCTTAGAAAAACAGAGAAAGGACCCAGATAAATCAAATCAGGAAAAAAGAAAAGGTGATATTACAACAGATACTTCAGAAATAAAAATGACCATTAGGGAATACTATGAATTACTATACGTAAATGATTGGAAATACTCAGAAATGGACAAATTCCTGCCCACACAAAATATACCTAGATTGAACCATGAAGAAAAAGAAATCCTGAATAGACCAATAATAAATTAGATTGATGGGAACCAGCAGTTAGCGTAATGGCTGTGTTGCTGAACTCCCATGTAGTTGACCATGGTTTGAGTCCCAGACCTGGTGGTTTAAACTCACGCTGGACGATTGTGCGTGCGTGCCCAGGATCCCGAAAGGAGAGTGGAGGAGAAGGGATTGTGGCGTGGCCATCCCCCCTGGGGGCTGATTTCTCACTTTCTTTCTCTCTGTCTCTCTGTCTTTCTGGAGAGTGCATGCGTCATATAGCAAAAACCTCTACAAAAAAATTAATTAAATAAGATTGAATCAGTAATAAATAAATCTACCAATAAAGAAAAACCTAGTTCTGATGACTTCACTCCAGACTTTGTGTCCTAAGGACTACATGTTAGGGAATAACAGGAATAACAGCAGATAGATTGGCTGAAGTTAAGTCTCCATGACTGTTATCATCTATTATTATCACATCATAAGACAAAGAGAAATAAGAGGAGAAAATAACTGAAAAAAGATTTGGAGGAAATGGAGGTGGAAGGTGATCAGCTATAATACGCAAAATACACTTAATCAGAAAGGCTGATAGTATTTGAAATAAGAATAATAGCCTCACAGAGATAAAGGAGTATATTAATAGCATTAAGAAGAATAAACTGATTGTAATTATTGAATAAATAGCAATTATGAGAATACAAAAAACAAAATTGAGATTAACACATCAATACATGATAAAAAATATAATTCACACAAACTAAGAACAATCTGAGAGACTGAATATTAAGGTTATCAAAGAAGTTAAAAAAAAAAAAAAAAAACTTTACAATACAACTTAAAAGATATGTGGAATGTATGAGCCAGTCCATGGCCCGGTGGTTAAGGGGCTGTAGCTTCATGGCTGAGCTTCATGGCTGACCACATGATTGGAATCCCAGATCCTACAGCTTTTGAAAGTGTGGTAGGCAGTTAGTTAGAAAAGGAGTGGGCAACCCTAAGAGAAAAGCGAAAGGCTCATCTAGCTCCAGGCACCAGGAGGGCGAGGCAATTTGCCATTTTCCTTCCTTGGGGCCTGAGGGAAGCACACAGGGTTGATTCATAGATTTTTCTCTTATCAAAAAGATCCAAGCAAGTGTTTTGGCCAACGCCCTAATTACCATTAGGGCGATGGACTAATTGGGCAGTCTAATTTGGGCAACCTGGCTTGAATTAGGCGTGCGCAATTAGGTGATCAAGTTTCTCATTCTTTACCTGTGAGGAAGGTGCACAGGTACAGGAGAGAACCTGTGGATTCAAATTCAAAGGAAGGACATAGCTGTGTAAGGGGCCTCCCACTAATGAATATTCATGACCTCTAGTAATAAAATGATGGTTGACTGGTGCCCAGTGCATTTGCCACCTGGCAATCTGCCCACCCACGAGCCTTTCGGATGTACTTCCTTTCTTTCCTTTCCTTTGTTTCCTATTAAATCTTCTTTTCTAACTACTTCATTCATAGTTGTGGTTTCATTTTGTGCCTAGGGACAGATCTCTAATTTTAGTGATCTGGACCCAAAGAACCAAGGACTTCACAATGCAGCTCAACACTTTCCCTTCGGTTAACAAATGCACAATAGGCACTTTTGTGTGCATGCTTAGAATCACTAAAAGAGGGAGAAATTGAGGAGAAGGGATTCCAGCTTGACCATGCCCTGTAGGATTGCTTTTTCATATTTTCTTTCTCTCTTTGTCTCCCTCTGGCAAGCACATGTGCCCTATGGAAAATCATTTAAAAAATATAAAGATATGATGATCTCAACGTGAAATATCAGCCTCTAGGCAACAGAAGTCCCTAGAAGACAAGATGTAATAAATCAAAGGTTGATATGTTACAATCAAAGATCAAGGATCTTAGACCAATCAAGGATGTTTATTGTATTTGAGAGCGACACATAATGAATGATCCAACCCATCACATCTGTCTCATCAAAGAACACAGATGCGTCTTGTGATCCTATCAGCTGGCTTCAACTGATTGGATTTTGGATTAGTGTCAAAATCAAAGGGTGTTTTCTATATGAAGATCATTGAGAAGAGAATTGTACTCAGAAATATGTTCTATGCTATGCTTTTCCTCGTAATATAATCAGTAGATCTGGTGGAGCACTATGGTAGAACACACGTAAAAGAAAAATGCCAGGAAAAAATAACCAATTAGAAGTAAAACACTGAGAAAGCCAGTGACATGAGGTAAGGAGGAGATACATCTTGCTTGGTAATGGAAGTGAGAGGGAAAAAATAAATAAATAAAAACTCAGGAGAGGCTTAGACAAGAAAACAGGAGATGACTATATTTGCTATTAGGTCACTATAACCTGTGAGAAACACTGAATTGTTTTAAATGTCAGTGATACTTGGCTTATATAATTTTCCACACAGCATTACTTTTGCCTGTATTTTTGCAATGAACTCTTTGTAAAATAACAAAAGCTAAAATGAGCTATCATAGACAATTATATTTATCCTCTGACTCAGCACTGGTACCTCATCAACAGTCTGTGGGATAGGATTTCAGGCAAACCAACACATATAATTTAGACACCCAAAGTTAAACCACTTAAAGTGTATTCATTATACACATTTTTCGGGTTTTCTTTTTTTTTTTTTTGACAAGTATCGTACATAATTGATTTTTAGCCTACCTTATTAGAAATTGACTTGACTAAATCAAAAGTGGGGAAGACGATGAACAATCCCCAAATTCCAACACACAGTGGTTATTCTCTATATTTCCCCCAAATAGAAATATAGGTAGGTGCTTAGCTCGCTAATATAAACATTGCATAAAGATTTCACATGAAAACGGGAGCCAAAATCCTGTAATATATTTGAAAATATTATATCATATAAGAAAATTTTCTATTCATGAATATTAGTTGGGAAATCATTCTTTGGTGTTTTTGTCTTCTATATTGCAATTGAATTAAACATGTTTTAAATATTTATACCATTTTATTTAAAACATAGAATTTTAGAACTTTGAAATGTACTCAAATATCTATTATTATTCTTTAAATTTAGTCATAAGTGGGCTAAAGAAAAAGTAAGTGAACCAGTTCAATAAAGAAAGAAAAATAAGTTTCTTTAATTCAGTGATATTTTATCTGCACCCATCTATTTTTTTTGTTTTGTTTAGACCAATGACAATATATACATACGTAGGAAATACAGTGCTGAGAACTTCACCACCGAACAATCTTTAATATTTAATTTTGAAGTGTTTTATAAATTTATAAGCCTGTGAATGCCTAAAGCTGTTAATTTGTGATTTAGTCCTTATAGCTCCTTCACATGTATATTCAATATGAAAAGCACTTAGTCAATTATCTGGCATATTTCAAAAGTAATTTGCTATTCTTACAGTTCCAGTGATAGAAAGGACAAATAAATAAATTGTTAAATAAATTGTTAATCTTTTCAAGTTCTATTTTACTCAGAAAAATTTTTGTGTAGGACTTTACAAATTACAAAGTGATTTTATTATCATATAATTATTGGATTTTGTTGTTGTTGTTGTTGTTTTGCTATAGGGCACATGTGCTTGCCAGAAAGACAGAGAGGGACAGAGAGACAGATAGCAAGAAATCCCCCCCCCCCCGGGGGGGATGGTCACACCGTAATCCCTTCTCCTCCATTCTCCTCTCGGGATCTTGGGCATGCATGCATATGTGCCTGGCATGAGTTTAAGCCACCAGGTCCGGGACTCAAACCATGGTCAGCTACATGGGAGTCCAGTGACATTGTCATTACGCCAACTGCTGGTCCCAGTTATTTGATTTTTAACAATTTGGTAACCTTAGATTAATGGCAAAACAAGAAACAAAGGCTGAGTTTTAGTGCTGGCCTCAATGCAAAGAACAAGTGGTTAATTCAAGACTCACACTGAGATCCTCCAGTCTCAATTATAGTTCTTTGTATTTCACAGGGTACATCATGATGGGGAGCAGAGGAATCCTATCATTTGACCCACAATGTCAACTTAGGTATTTTTCTTTCTCTAAGCCTGTATTTCCTTCTTCTCTAACAGATTTTTTTTTTAAGGCGGTATCAACTGCGAAGATACAGATAGTCTTACCTATCCAATAATGTAGGAAGAGACTACCTTTAATTAAAACAATCAGTTTCAGTCAATTCCTATTCAACATTTTTTTCCTCTGGGCTGCACTTTATTGAATTCTCCACAGTACTTTAGTTTTTCTTACCAAATTTTACATTTGCATCAATGTCAGGTTGTGAAACTCAGAACAACTTGAAGTTCACTCATTTTGGGATGTTTAACATCTTAACATCTTAAGGTTTTTGAGAACTTTCAGCAATTTAATGCATACTAGTCAACACAGGAAAATGTCAAAAATTAAAAAAATATGTATACTAGGGAACCAGCAGTTAGCGTAATGGCTATGTCGCTGGATTCCCACGTAGTCGACAGCGGTTCGCATCCCGGACCCGGTGGCTTAAAACTCACGCCGGGCGCGTGTGCGTGCATGCCCAAGATCCCGAGAGGAGAATGGAGGAGAAGGGATTGCGGCATGACCATCCCTCCCGGGGGGTGATTTCTCGCTTTCTGTCTCTATGTCTCTCTCTGCCTGTCTGGCGAGCGCGCACGCCCTGTAGCAAAAACCTCTCCAAAAAAAATAAATAAAATAAAAACAAAACAAAACAAAAAACAAACAAAAATATATACTTTAAATAAGCCCACAATTTACCTACAGGTATTGATAATCTATAGCATTGATACTACATTTTAACATACATTTGCATTATTAATAAAATGTTTCTAAAAATAGTATCAATAAAGTAAGTTCTCTTACCTAGGCCATGTCTATGTGTTGACATTGGTGGTAAAACAGTCCAAGTCTTGGTTTTGGGATTATAACATTCAACAGTGTTCAGTGTCTTCAAGCCATCTCGACCTCCAATTACAAACAGTTTGTCATCAATAACAGCCACACCAAACTGCAGCCTCCTGCCGTTCATCATTCCTGCCTGGATCCATAAATTTGTTCTGAGGTCATATTTCTCTATGGTTGTAGCTCCTGACAAAACATAAAATAAAATTGTCACCAACTGCTACTAATCCAACAAACAGCCTGTCCATGGCAGTATACAAATTAGAATGTAAAAACACTCTTGTCCCACGCATTTTGCTTAAAGAAAAAGGGGCAGGAAAAAAAAAAAGGACTTATTCAATCTTATTTTCTCTTCTTTACAAACACTAATGATCAAAATAAGCACAAATACTCAGGTTATAGACAGTGGTATCACCCTGAATTATAAATCTAATGGAATCATCATTGAACATGACATAGTTCCTTCTATTGCTGTTTGCCATTTAAAAAGGTAGTATAGGGAACCAGCAGTTAGCGTAATGGCTATGTCGCTGGACTCCCACGTAGTCGACCATGGTTCGCGTCCCGAACCCGGTGGCTTAAAACTTGCACCAGGCACGTGTGTGTGTGCCCAAGATTCCAAGAGGAGAATGGAGGAGAAGGGATTGCGGCCTGACCATCCCTCCCGGGGGGTGATTTCTCGTTTTCTGTCTCTATGTCTCTCTCTGTCTGTCTGGTGAGTGCACACGCCCTATAGTGAAAACTTCTCAAAAAAAAAAAAAAGGTAGTATAATTCTTAAGAATTTCATGAAATTTTCTTTAAATAACTAAACTATGTGTGTTATCTATTAATTTCTGAAAGTAAAAACAAAGTTGAATAAAATATTGATATATTACAAAGTAACAAACATTGATGTTGCTTTTGTATTCTTTTGTTTTGTTTTTGCCAGATAGTGCATGTACTCACTAGAGAGAAAGCCAGAGAGAGAGAAGGGGAAAGTGACAAAGCACGTCCTATGGGTGATGGCCATACCATAATAGCTTCTCCTCCATGTTTCCCTGGTTTGGGGATTTGGAGCATACACACACATGCACCCAACATATTTTTCAGGCCCTGTTTCCAGACTTGAACTACAAAGTCAGCTTGTAGGATTCAAACACATTAAGCAGCATATGATTGGCTGGCCTGCTTAAGTGTTAGATCTTAACATTCAGAATCACCAGTGTTTTATCTTCAATGACTAAACATCTCTATAAAGGGAAGGAACATTTTTGTGTTGTTTCATTTAAGCATTGATGCTCTATTTTACTTCTAATGGAATAAAAGATTGCAAATCTAGGGAAAACATTTCCTTGGGGACTCATTTACTCTTCAGAAACTAACCAGCAATAAACAAAACAAATATAAACAACTTGGTAACAGAGGTTTTGCTAATTAAGGTAAAAATAATATAATTTATACTTTGTCTTTATTCAAAGGAAACAGCAATATGCTAGGTAATGAATTAGATGTATTAAATCTGCTTTCTAATGTTATATAAGCACTTTACATAACATATAAGCTGGATTTCCATATAAAAATAAATTTGAAGTATTTAAAAGTTATTATTTAGGAATAAAGGGACCAGCAGTTGGTGTAATGGCTATGTCATGGGATTCCCATGTAGCTGACCACGTTTCAAGTCCCGGACTCAGTGGCTTAAACTCACGAAGAGCACATGAGCATGTGTGTCCAAGATCCCGAGAGGAGAATGGAGGAGAAGGGATGGCGGCATGGCCAGTCCCTCTGGGGGGGGTGATTTCTTGCTTTCTGTCTCTCTGTCTCTCTCTGTCGAGTGAGCACACATGCCCTATAGCAAAAACCTCTCCAAGAAAAAAAAAGAATAAAAATATATTGCAATATTCATAAATGTTATTAGATATTGTTTATTAATGCTATATACTATTTTAAACGAACATCTTAATTTGTATGTTTTATAGTACATATTGAGTTTTCAAAACAATTAGTTTTTTTTCCATGCAAAATTGTGTCATGACTTTCTAGCAACCCAGTATTACATTTATATTGAATGTTTTATCCAACTGTGTGTACAAATCAAAATTCCAAGGTGCACTACATAGTCTATCATTTTAAGGTATTCTGAATACTCATAACTTGAAGATATTGGTATTATATGTATGCCAAACTAAAAATGAAAAGTTGTATGTAGGTACTTGTCTCTAAATAAGTATTTCTTCACAAATGTTGGCAGAAGAATGTAATCTAATTTTATTTAACTGAATCCCCATTAGACTCTATTTCTCTGGTATCGGTAGAAGACTTCCTTTAGTCTTTAAAACCTGGTCAAAAATTTTGCAGAGAATTTGAAGTCCAGTCATTGTATTTAGAGGGAATAGTTGAGAACGAGTAAAGCTAATGATTTTGAGTAAGAAAGGAGTTATTCAAAAGGGAAAAATGAACACTTGATTTGGATTTTAAACTCTCACTAAAACAAAATAAATCTGTTTTACATTTCACTACCTGAACCAGCAGATGGCATAACGGTTATGTTGCTAGACTCCCACGTTGTCAACTGCATTTTGAGTCCTAGACCCGGTGGCTTAAAACTCACACTGGGAACATGTGCGTGCATATCCAAAATCCCAAGAAGAAAATGGTGTGGCCATTCCCCCTGGGTGGTGAGTTCTCATTTTCTGCCTTTCTCTGTCTCTCCGGCATGTGCATGCATCCTATTGTAAAAACTTCACTCCTAAATGAATGAATAAATGAATGAATAAATAAATAAATAAATTTCAATACTTAACAGGATTTTTTTTTTTTTTACTTTTACAGATTTTATGCTTCTGTCTTCAAAAATGACTTACCCAATAGCAGAAATTGGAGCTCATCTCTGTTCTCATCTTTCAAACTATAAGCTATATTAATTCTCTATAGATACTATAAATTAAAAACAAAACAAAAAACCTGTCTCATGCCCAGCCATGGTAGTGTGGGTGCTGAGCACTACTCTGCAATGCTGGAGACACAGGGAAGATTGTCAAGACCCTGTCACAGATGCCTATTTTTCTCTGTCTCACTTTCACTCTGTGGATAAAGTGAGTGAACTTAAAAATACTGAGAAAAGAAGTAAAAGAAAAGGAAATTCAAATAAAAAGAATCTTAAACTCCACAACATATATTGAAAACCAAGATTTACTATCCAACAGTTCTGTAGATTAGAATTCCAAAGTAGGTCTTACTGCACTATTACAAGGTGTTGGTAGGGTGACATTGTTTAGGAAACTCTAGGAAAAAAAAAAACAAAACCTTGGCTTTTCTATCATCTAGAGTGTACACAAATTATGGCTTCTATCTTTCAAGCCAGCAATGTTGTGTTTCTCTAACATAGGCCCTTATGACTTCATTGGAGTCAACCTAATTTCATCTGATATAATGTAAAATGATCTGCTTATGGTAAGGTCATCTGAATAGCAATCTTAATTTGTTCACATACTAAACTTTCTCTTTCTGTGTAACCTAACAAACTCCTAGGTTCCAGAAATTAGGATATGAACACTTAGGGGAGGCTATAATTCTACATGGAATTTAAGGCCTATCTTTATTTCACTTTTTAAGCTTGCTTAGTTAGAAAAATTTTAGAAAAACTTACCTACACTCAATAGCTAACATAATTGATTATTTGCTTATTCAGTAAACATATTTTATGTTTTATTCACTTTTTTTTTAAGACAGAGGTTTTTTATATAGGGCATGTGTGCTTATCAGAGAGACAGAGAGAGACAAAAGGGTTAAATTACACCCCAGGTAGGAAGGCCACACCACAATTCTTTCTCCTCCATTCTCATGTAGGAATTTTGGGCATGTATGCAGACATGCCTGGTGTGAATTTCAAGCCACCAGATCTGGGAGTCTAACTGCAGTTGGCCATGTGGGAGTCCAGCAGTATAATCGTTATGCCATCTGCTGATCCCTGTTTTAACTTTTTAACAGTCACAAAGTTAGGCATATGCTCTTCTTTTCTCCGTTTTTAAAAAAAATCTTGCTGGAGAGTGCATTCATGCATTGGAGAGTGACAAAGTTGCAGGAAAGTGAGAAAATACCTCTCATGAGGCATGACATGGCACAATCCCTTCTCCTTAACTTTGTCCTCCATTCAGGGTTTTAGGCATGCACTAATACACATTGGTGTGTTCTTCAAGCCATGGAGTCTGGAATCAATTGTGCAAGTGGCCATGTGGAATCTAGCTGCCTTGACCACAAGACCACAAGCTGGCCCAGTTCTTCCTTTTTCTTATGAAAAAGGTAAATAATAAAGTTCTAGTACTAGAAATCTTTGCCAATGCAATCAGAAAAGAGAATGAAATAAAAAGTATTCAAATAGGAAAAGAGGTGAAAGTATCTCTATTTGCAAATGACATGATTTTATGCATAGAAGACCCAGTGATATTCATGAAAAAACTTCTCAAAGTGATTAATTAATGCAGTAAAGTTACAGGATTCAAATTCAACATACACAAATCCATAGCAATCTTATATAAGAACAGCAAGCAAAGAGATAGAACTGAGGAAAGTAATCCCATTGCCATAACCACACAAGGTATAAGATACATAGTATTAAATCTAAGCAAAGAAGTTAAAGATCTTCACAAAGAAAACTATGAGAAGCTAAAAAAAAAAAAAGGAATTGAATATGACACAAAAATGTGGAAGAACATCCTGTGTTTCTGGATTGGAAGAATTAATATAATCAAAATGGGAATTCTACCACTTAATCTACATATTTAATGCAATCCCAATCAAAGTACCAGAGATATTCTTTTCCTTTTTTTTGAGATGTTTTTGCAATAGGGCGCATGCGCTCACCAGACAGAGAGACAGAAAGTAAGCAAGAAATCCCCCCCTCCCCGAGGATGGCCATGCTGCAATCCCTTCTCCTCCATTCTCCTCTCCAGATCTTGGGCATGCATGCACATGTGCCCGGCGTGAGTTTTAAGCCGGGTCTAGGATGCAAACCATGGTTGACTACATGTGAGTCCAGCAACATAGCCATTACGCTAACTACTGGCCCCAGAGACATTCTTCATAGATCTAGAAAAAAGACAATCATAGAATTTGTCTGGAATCATAAAGATCCCGTAATGCCATAGTCATCCTGTACAAAAAGAGTGGAGTAAGAGGCATCTTTCTTCCAGACCCCAAAGCTGTA